CTACTACTACTATTGCTACTACTACGGCTATTGCCAATACTTCGACTGCTACTGCGAACGTTACTGCGAATGCTCCTGCTACTGCTCCTTCTACAGCTACAGCTACTGCTACTGCTGCTGCTGCAGCTACTGCTGCTGCTGCAGCTACTGCTGCTGCAGCCGCTGCTTGCGCAATAGCAGTTCCATTTGCGTCAAGCAAAACAACACAGTGATTGCCGCGAGTGCGTGTGCACTCATTGCCTAAACAAAATGCCGCTGCATGTTGACAGGGTCGAGGAAATGCAAAGAAGACAAGTCCTGGTGGTCAGTACGGAGCAAGGATCAATCACACGCTGGACGCTCAAACCCCACTTATACACTTCCGGGCCTATAATCTTTTGGACGTGAAATCCCCGCATCTCGTATTCTTGATTTTGGGTGAAAAAGGCGGATCTCATTCTCGAGCGGCAACGACTTCTCGGCGCCCTAGAGGTGGGTATCCGAGAGCTGGGCTATGACAATGAGGGTCGATGGTAAAAGTTTTCGGCGATGTTATGATTGTGGAAGATCGAAGGCTGTGCAGCACATTCGACAAGCCCGTCCGACACCTTACCTTGAAAGTGCTGAAGCCAACAAGTCCTTGCGAGGGGCTTTTAAACAAGCAGGGTTGTGGCCGATCCCGGCATCCGGTTGCCTGCAGAGTCTTGTTTTGCTGGCTTCTCCAGGTCCCACAGATTCGACCAGAGTCATTCAGGTTCTCAGCTTGAAGCCGTCGTTTCTGTTCATAGATTCATAGATGTCATGGATGTTTCCATCGGGCGACAGCGGACAAAGCCTGCAACATGTTAGCTGTGCAAGACATTGCTCGGCCATCCTTTCATCCTGGAAGTAGTTATAAGCTGTCCCGAGCATGATCGGAGGTAGAGGCATCGTTTGTTGCGTGACAATCGAGCTCCGATGCGAGCCTAGAAGCCTCGCTGGCATCCGTTAACCGCTTGTGTTTCATGTAGAATGAAGGTATATAGGGTCTGACTCTCTGACTGACTGCAGCCGGAAATCTCGTCAGTCCATTTGTTTCGTCTTCCAAGCCTTCTTTGGTGACGAGAGCCCGGGCAATCCTTGGACAGGAGTCACGCCGCGCCGTCCAGAAAAGCCTCGGTGTGCCCAACCCTGTCGATGGGCCAAATTCAGCAAGGGGTTTGGACTCCCGGGCACGAAAACACAAGAAACCGGTCGAGCCAGTCCAGAGCGGCTAGAGGCTAGATGTAGCTAGTGATGCTGAGGGCATCAGAAGTGACGACATGGCTTCCCTGAACGTTGTGCTGGGTTTGGCAATGTTCGAGTGCAACATGAAGCTGTAGTAAAGCTAAGCCAGAATAAGCTGCGACTTTGGACACTCACCCCAGTTACAGCTTGGACACAGTTGGAGGCAGGCGACGTACTAGCCCGGCTGGTAGCTGCGGGGCGTGCTCCTAAATGTTGCGAAGATGTTACTTTCCACACAACCGCCAGCCAAGGCGGCGGCGGTTGACAGCGCCAGAGTGGCTGGACTTGCGGGCTTGTGCTTGAACAAGTCCTTACGATTAAGATGTCCCGGCCCGGTTAACTCTATACTCCGCGAAATGGGCCGCGTAACAATCCTTTTCAACTCCGACATGGGGGCGAAAATGGAACCATGACGGGATTGCATTTTCGCACTGGCATCCGAATGCAGTCGCAGAATGGCAACCAATGGGAGCATATCTGCGCTATGAGAAACGGACGCTTGTGCTTGGGAACGTTAGCACTCGCAAACGTGAGAAGGGGGGGGCAGGCACATATGTAGGTTTCCGTCAGCCTTTTTCATTCCACCTCGCAATCTCCTTGCTGGATGTTTGCAAACTGCTATGTTCGTTTTATGTTGTTTGTTCGCATTGTTTTTTGGTTTGTTTCTGCATTGGGTTTGTGAAGAGAAAGCTCCCCACGTCCTGGCCACCTGAAATCCAGAAGTTTGCGAAACAACCCTGCAGCAGTCGACAGCGCTAATACAGAATACAACTGCAAACATCAGGGAAACATACTCGACCATGGAAAATAACAAATGTGAAGCTTATAGACACTCGCTGGGATCCGAAAATTGACACCAAATGGCAACAATCACAATAGATGTGCAAGGAAGGGAAAACAATGAAACCACGATGTACATGCTTCCCGCCGGATGAGACGAATCGGGGAAGATGATGGTTCGTTGTTCGTTTCTCATGTTGTGTTTGTTATTGTCATCTTGTGTCCCATCTGTCGTGCATTGTCCCATCTGTCGTGCATGTTTGCATCGATACTGTTGATCTGGGCGTGATTCCTCAAACAGTCAGTGTGGTACACACTACTGTATGGGTTTCTTAAGCGAATTGGATGGTGTAGGCGCGCCCGGAACTGCCGATTAGGGCTGCTGTGTTGAGGCGTGTCTGAATCCCGCCAGTACATGAGGGAAGCGGCGCCCGAGGCGCATGTTGAACATTCCGGCAACTGTCTCTCAATACCGTTTGGCCGTGGTGTTCTGACGGCCTTTTTGCGGTCTGCCGGTGGTTTGCTGGTGGTCTCCTGCGTGGTCTACCGATGGTCACGGTCGTCCCTGCCGTCGTCGTGGGCCGTGCTCGTGGCCGTCGGTCCTGGTGGTCACGCTGCTCGTGGTCGTTCTGGTCGCCATGGTCGTGGTCGTCTTGGTTTTCTTTTTGCCGTTTTGGTATCTACGCTGGCACATGCCGGCACATCGATTACAGCGTGTTGCTACGTTCACGTTGTCGTTTCTAGATCTGTTTATTTCCAGGATAAACGGAGGTGGGTCACTTGCTACCAGCATTGTCACATTCACAACCGTCATAGTGTTCTGCTTCCTGATTAAGAGCCTCTAACATGCAAAATTACCCTGGTCGCCGTCGTCCTGGTCCTCGTCCTCGTCATCAGCATCACCATCAGCGTCGTCAATCACCGTCATCATCATCATCATCATCACCATCGTCATTATCATCACTTTCATCACCAACCAACATCATTGGGAACATGGTTCTTTCAGTGGACTGGACTGCTGTTTCAGTGAACTGGAACGCTGTTTCAGTGAACTGGCCACTGGCTCTGGGATTGGGGTTCTGGTCACGGTTGGGTTGGGTCAGGTTGCATTAGATTGGTATTTGGCTTATATTAGCCTGAGTCGGGTTAGCTTACGTCACAGTCGGGTTTCAGCCAGGTTAGGCTTAGGTTGGGTTCGGCTAGGTCAGTCGGGTTGGGTCAGGTTACGTTGGGTTCGGCTGGGTCAGGTTAGGTTAGGTTAGGTTGGGGTCCGTTAGGTTGGGTCAGGTCAGGTTTGGCGCGGAAAGGGAAGCCGTGGGTCATGTCAGGTTAGGTTAGGTTAGGTTGGGTGACGTTGGGGGTATGTTAGGGTAGGTTGGGGTAGGTTCGGTTGTTTGGCGACGTTAGATTAGGCTCTGGGCCGGGCTCGGATAGTTGGGTTAGTTTGGGTGCATGGGCTCGGTTGCGGCACGTTAGTTGGTCAGGTTAGTTAGGTTAGGCTAGGTCGACTAGGTTAGGGTAGGGCAAGTTGGGTCAGGTTATGGGATAGGGTCAGGTTGCTATAGGGGTAGGTCAGGGTAAGCTGGGGTAGATTAGGTTACGGGTTGATTAGGTTAGGGTCGGTTGGGTTGGGCGAGAATGGGGTTGGGTCATCAGGTTGGGTTGGTGTAGGTCTGGATCAGGTTGGGAAGTCAGGTTATGTCTGGTTGGGGTAGTGTAGGTTGGGGTAGGTCAGGTCAGGTTGCGTTGGCGTAGGTGAAGTTGGGGTAGGCTGGTCAGGTTGGGTTGCTTGTAGGTTGGTCAGGTGGAGGTGAAGGCTGGGGTGGGATAGGCTAGGTTAGGCTAGGGTAGTAGGTCTGGTTGGGTCAGGAAGGGTTAGGTTACAAAAGGTTGGGGCAGGTTAGTGGGTCAGGTTAGCTTTAGGTTAGGCAGGGTAGGTTGTAGGTTGAGATAGGTTAGGTTGGGTGAGATCAAGTTAGGTTGGGTCAGGATGGGTCGGGTTCGGTTAGGTTGGGTAGGATGGGCTAGGTTGGGGCAGCTTAGTTGGCCAGGTTAGGTTAGGTTTGGTTTGGTTAGGTTAGGTTGGGGTAGGTCAGGTTGGTTCAGGTCATAGGTGAGGTTAGGCAAGGGAAGCTGGGTAGGTTGGGTTAGGTTAGGTTGGGGTAGGTTTGGGGGTCAGGTTAGATGAGGTTAGGCTAGGGTAGGTTGGGTCAGTTTAGGTTGTTGGGTCAGGTTAGGTTAGGTTTCGTCATAGGTTCGGTTGGGTTAGATTGGGCTGGAGTTAGGTTGGGTTAGGCCAGGGTCGGGTAGCTTCGGTCATGAGGTTGGGGTAGGTTGTGGCAGGTTGGGGTAGGTCAAGGTAGGTCAGGGTAAGTAATCCGTGAACTGTGAGCTGGGACCCGGTTCACTGAAATAGGGGGTCAGTTCATTGAAACGTTTTCAGTCCACGGAAATAGGTTCGCTGGATATGCTGTCGTCCAACATCATTGTCTTCATCCCTATCGCCACCACCACCACCACCACCACCACAACAACAACAGCAACACCATGCACGACACCACCACCACCACCACCACCACCACCACCACCAACAACAACAACAACAACAACAAGCACAACCACGACAACAACAACAGCAATAACAAGAATAATAACAACAACTGCAGCAACAACAACAACAGCAGCAACAGCAACAGCACCAGCACCAGCACCAGCACCAGCACCAGCACCAGCAGCAGCAGCACCAGCACCAGCACCAGCACCAGCCCAGCACCACCAGCAGCAACAGCAGCAGCACCCCCACCAC